AAAATTTAAACCATTATAAAACATTAATAAAAATTTTTTGCCCCCCCCCCCCTGGAAAGTTAATCGATTTTTTTGCCCCCCCCCCTTGGAAAGTTTTCTGCGGGCGCCCTTGTACTGGGGTAAATGGAATGTGTTGCAGCGTGGCTACTTTTGCTTCTAAACACAGTTTATAAACCTGACCGATTAATCGGATTAAAAGCTGTCATTGATCTCAACATGTCATATATCTTACATATCGACAATGTTATTGCGGTGTTCAGTCTTATCGCGTGGTTGAGATCTATATGCTAGCTGTTACTTGCTTACCGATCCATTACGTCAGACTTTCACACTTTCTAATCATCAGCTTTTAAATCCTCCCTCAATTCTACTAAATGTGCAATGGCCATTGGTAGTAAATGCAATAGGTTTCTGCATTTCTCTGAACAATTCCTAAATATCTTACCATGTGATTCTTATCTCTAATAATGTATCTTTATCTAGACTTTGCGGTTTGTTTGTTTTTTTTTGCTAACAAATACCCTCTTTCTCTTTGTAAGTCAGGCGATGCATGTGTTCTCCTGCGCTTTTTGTTCAATTTAAATTCCCTTTATTTTGAATGCCAAATGCTACAAGTGATCCTTTTGCCAAAAAGTCTGCTTTCAATATCGGGCGGTGCATTTTAGTATTTAACAGTTTTCTTAAAACCATTAAGTTATGAAGGTTCATCACTTTGTTAAATGTGTCACCAGGAGTTGATGTAAATACAATTGTCCCATGCTTTGGATCTCTGGTTCTGTCTTATTTTTAGGTAATAGTTTTCAACTTCAACGTAAATAGTTGCATGACAAAAAAGTGTTAAGTCTGATATAATCTTCTGTACCTCCCAAAATCCCCCTCCGCTAATTTGTTTTTTAAATTTTATTTTTAATTAATTTTTCCCCCTCTTCCCCCCCCCCCCTAAAACCAACCTCAAATTTTAGTGAACTATTTTTGCACTTCCTTCTTTGATTATGGGCTTTTCTTCCCCAAATGTGTTGTGGAAGCTTGGTACCTCCATCCTTGTTGGCAAAGGTTTGTACCTCCATCTTTGTTGATAGTGCTTGGCACCCCTCTCTTTTTAGGGGAAGTACAGTAACCCTCTTTTTTTTTTATAGTGCTTGGGGACCCCTCTGTTTGTTGATAGTGCTTGGCGACCACTCTCTTTGTTGAAAGTGCTTTGCGACCCCTGTCTTTGTTGATGGTGGTTGGCGACCCCTCTCTTTGTTGATATTACTTGGCGACCCCTCTCTTTGTTGATAGTGCTTGGCGACCCCTGTCTTTGTTGATAGTGCCTTGCGACCCCTCTCTTTGTTGATAGTGCTTGGCGACCCCTGTCTTCGTTGATAGTGCTTGGCGACCCATACCTATGTTGATAGTGCTTGGCGACCCTTGTCTTTGTTGATAGTGCTTGGTGACTCCTGTCTTTGTTGATAGTGCTTGGTGACCCCTGTCTTTGTTGATAGTGCTTGGTGACCCATATTTATGTTGATAGTGGTCGTAGACCTGTATCTATGTTAAGGTATCTTGGGTACATTCGTATTTGTTGGGAAATTTCGGCACCGTCCTCTTTGATGGGGAATCTTGGTACCCCTTTATTTCTTGGGGACACTTGGTAACCTCTCTTTGTTGATTGTGATTGGTCTCTCTTTCTTTTTTGGGGGAAGTTTGGTACCTCTCTCTTTGTTGAGAAGGCTTGGTACCGCTCTATCCGCTGAAATAACGTGGTAGCTCCCTCTTTGTTGGAGAAGCTTGGCACCTTTCGTTTTGTTATGGACGCTTCATACTGCTTTAGCATTGCTTCCGTGTGGCTTTCTCTTTTGCTTATGCTTCTTTGTAAAATCCTATTTGTTGATGCTCCTCTGTAGCTATCTCCCTTTGTATTCTTCTTTTTAACACCCTCTTTGTTTATGCTTATCTGTAACCCATCTTTGTTAATACCCCCTGTATCGCCCTCATTTTTGGTGCTCCTCTGGAACTTCTCTATGTGTGATTCTCTGCATCTTGCTTGCTATGTATTTATAAGTTCTTGCATTTCCATTTATAAGAGTACAAAGCAGCCCTCTTCTTCTAGCTGTTCTTCTCATTGACAGTAAACACACTACTGTCTCCATCAGCTTTGTTTAAGTTCTTAGTGAGTTGTTTCTACAATTAACACACAGCAGTGTACGTTTAACTTTTCGTAGAAAATTAGTATAGTAAAGTAAGGTTAAACCAGAAAAACGGAACGCAACAAAACAATGAACGTGTAGGCAGGAAGCCTTCTTCAGGGAACAAACAAAAAATGCAGAATAAAATTTTAAAAAAAAACTGATTTAATTGTATTCTTTTTTTTTTCTGTTTGTTCGCTGACGAAGACTTCCTGTCAACAGGTTCATTGTTTTGTTGCGTTCCTTTTTTCAGGTCTAACCTTACTTTTTTTTTTACTAATTTCCTATTGTGCTAACCTGATTGCAGGGTCTCCCCTTATTAACCTTTTGGTACCCATCATTGTGTAGACTTTAAATATAACGTACTTTACAAAACCACAACGTAGCCTATTACTGCACCACCTTTGGTCGTTATGGGTTTCACATATGTTACTTTTTTTTTAATTATGATAATCTATAAAATACATACCAAAGGGTTAATTAAGGAAGGCATTTATTTTGACAAAATTAGTATAATTTTTGAAAAAAGAATCTTCCTATCATTGTGGTTAGATTTTTATTATAATCAAGGTTGAACTTCCTTTTTAATTTATGCCAACAAAAAGATATAAAAGTCAGGCATGAAGTTTAAAATGTAAATGTCTTGAAAACGTACGAAAAGAAACTGACCTTACAATGCCACAAGCGATTTCCGCACCATCGTGTTCAGAAGCTAACAGCTTTGTTACAGCGGGCCACGATCCGGTGAAAGGTACCCGCGCAAGGTGTGCGCCAGCTGGCAGGTGATTGGTGAGCTCACCTGGGGGGTCGGTCCTTGCAACGCATCACGACCGGCTAATGAATTCAGGCGACAGTTTAACAATAGATTACTATCAGGCTAGGCCTTCTACACGCCGCGGCGAGCATCGAGTTTATTGTAAAAATTCTGACAACGTGGTGCTGGTAGTCCGGTCAACAGGTGGCCGAATAGCAGGACTCGAAGGATGACGGTTAAGTTTTACTAACCAGATAGCTGGGCGATTAGTCACACGCATATCATTGGTATCATTATCTGCGTCGTTTCTCTTTCAATGTTTCAATCTTTTCGACTCACTTTTCTATTGTTGCAGCCCCATTCTGATATAAATAGAGGATAGTAGCGATCTACAAGTCGATGCAAATACAGCAATCAATCGAATCTTGGGTGTAATATTTATGATGTCACTTCATCCTCCCTGCCTTTCACATGACAGACGCACACACAAGTACAAGGACACACTCATGAACAAGGCTATTTCTGGGCCCTATTCACGATCCTAACCTCCAAAATGTACCACCCTAGACTAATGTTTTAGTTAGCTCTCTCTATCTTTCTCCCTCTCGCCTTTTCCCTTGTCCACCCCTTTTGGAAATCATATACACAAAACATTTCATCAAAATTATAGAGAGGACGAGAAAGAGAGAGAGATGTATAGAGAGAGAGAGAGAGAAAGGGAGATAAAGAAGGACAAAGAAACAAGCAGTGGAATTTATACAGCTTTACACATTTGCAATTGCTTTAAAAAAACAAAACAAATGTTCACATTAAAGTATAAACTTGCATTCTTCTTTTTAATATACGAGTTCTGCATAAGTTCATGTTACGACTGTCAACGTGTGCATTGTTCCGTTCGTTTATGTTACGACAGTCACAGTGTGCATTTGATGAAGCATTAGTAATTTAGTTGTTTTTTTTCCTTCAAAAAAGTAACAATTTCCGTCTTGAAAAAGAAATGCAAATTCATCGTATGAAAATGACCAAAACGTATGAGCTTCTTTAATTTTCTCATTAGATTTTTATGGTCAGTTTGTTCTTAAATATACATTTATAAATATACAGGCACTCCAAACAGGAAACGCCGCAGGAGTGGATAATATCCCTGCCGAGTTGATGAAACAAGGAGGAGAAGCGATGATAAGTGCCCTATTCAATATTTGTAACAAAATATGGCGTACAGGAGAATGGCCCAAACCATGGACCCAATCACTCATCGTCACCCTCCCCAAAAAAGGTAACTTACAGCCATGACAAAACTATCGCACCATTAGACTAATAAGCCATGAAGCAAGGTCATGCTGAAGATCTTATTGGATCGACTAAAACCATATGCCGACAGAATCATTGCTGAAGAACAGCCGGGCTTCAGACAAGGACGGGGCACTACTGAGCAGATTCTAAACCTCCGAATACTATTGGAGAAATATGCTCAAAACCAACAAAATCTATACCACGTCTTTGTTGACTTCAAGAAAGCATTTGACAGGGTTTGGCATGCTGCTTTATGGGTCATCAAAAGGCACTACAACATCAACACAAACCTAACCAGCATAATATGCAACCTCTATGATAAGGCCACCAGTGCAGTCTTCCTCCACAACAACATCGGAGAATGGTTCAAGACCACGATTGGAGTACGACAAGGATGCCTGCTCTCCCCCACCCTATTCAACATCTTCCTATAGAGAATTATGTCAGATGCTCTGGAAGCGCATGAAGGGACAGTCAGCATTGGTGGCAGTACAATCACCAACCTACGCTTTGCGGACGACATAGACGGACTGGCTGGGAACGAAGAAGAGCTAGCCGACCTGGTAAAACGTCTCGATAAGACCTCGTCGTCCTGCGGCATGCTAATCAGTGCCGAAAAGATAAAACTAATGACCAATAATACCACAGGCATTACCACTGAAATTAAGGTCGGGGAGGAAAGATTAGAGACTGCCAGCCGCTTCAAATACCAGAAGAAGGCTCCAATCCCAACCTGATTTCCAGGATTGCGCAGATTACAACAGCACTAAAAGCGCTCAAGAAAATATGGAATGACAAAAATATAGCCCCCAGCACCAAAATTAGGCTGATGCGCTCATTAGTCATCTCCACTTTCCTGTATGCCTGCGAATATTGCGAATCCTGGACATTAACAGCCGATCTTGAAAGGAAAATAAAGGCGATGGAGATGAGATGCTTCAGCAGCATTTTTTTGCATCTGCTATAGGGACCATATCTCGAATGATATAGTGAAATAAAGTGTTCGTCAGTCAATTTGGGAGTACGATGACCTACTGGTGACTATGAAAAAATTCAAATTACAATGTTACGGCCACGTAACAAGGAAACAAGGGCTTGCCAAAAAAATATTGCAGGGCACCACAAGAGGAGGTAGAAGAAGAGGAAGACAAAGAAAAATATGGGAGGATAACATCAAAGAGTGGACAGGACTAACACTGGGCGATGCAGTGCGTAGTACAGAAGACAGAGACGAATGGAGGAGGATGGTTCACATGTCATCTGTGGGGCCCCACGGTCCAAGGACTAAATGACAAGAGGATGAGGATGAGGATTCATTTTCACATCTCCACGTCTAATTCAAGTAGTCGTGTTTTGAATAAGCATCACTTGGTCAGTAGTTGGGGTGATGTCACATGGTGTGGGGCGTTGGACAACCGATTGCTTCTTTGTAGGTGAGTGTTTCTTAGTATTTATGTTCTTTGCTAAGAAAATAGCTGTCTTTCCCATGTAAATATGCTTTCCTTGTTTTATTTTATGCGCACCAAAACGGAATATTCCAATTGAGTAGCACCGTTCTTTTTGCTCAGTATTATTATTTTTTTAATCACAGACCACGACAAATTGTAAACATTTGTTGATCTTGACGGCAGACACGTGATGTGACTTCACTTCTGCTGTACAGGATTTACTTTGAATATCAGCCCAGGAGCTCACTACAGCAGCCTTTCATTGCCGCCGCACAACGGCACTGGCACCAAGATGTCCAAAGGAATGACCATCAAAGACGCTCTCAAGCAGTTCGAGGAGGAGACCAAGGAAAAGGCGAAAGACGCCAAGATTGTCAAACTCATCTCGCGGATACCATTCATCGACAAAATGGACGCCAGCTTGTCTCAACTGGAGGTTTGTGGGTCCAAGTTAAGCAAGCTTTATTTCCACCAGGGGCGGGGGTGGCAAAAATTATTATGGGCCCCTGCCCTCGAAACTGCCCTGATAACGCTACTCCTACGCCAGTAAGACTGTGGAGAGTAGGGTTATTTTTAATTGTAAGGAAGGGGGAGGGGACCGTCGGGGGAATTTAAGGGTGGGTGGGGGGGTCATGCTTTATGAAATAAAAGGTATGTAACAGAATTGTGAGTTTTTAATAACTGAATAACAGCATAGCTATTTTTTTCGGTTAAGAACTTAGAATAAAATTTATAGAAACAATTAAAGATATTCTTGTACAAGCATTGGCTTATTACAAATGATATTTATTTAGATGTAATGCAAAATAACCTTGGTGATTTGAAAATCTGTCTTTGTGACGAATGCAAAGGTGTCAGTCTTCCATAGTAGCTTAATACCAAAGCGAGTTTGGTAGTCATTTTTTAAAATAAAATTCAATACATAATAATCGATACATAAATATTATTTAAATACAACAACAAGTGGTTCTTATACTAAAATAACAAGAAAGCGAGTTTGGAAGTCGATTTTTTTAGAAGTAAAATTCAATTTATAATAATCGATACTTAGATATTGGTTAAATACAACAACACGTGGTTCTTCTAATTAAATAATACGGACATGGAAACAACCATCGCCTACATCCTCGCTATTCATGGGCAACACGTGCCAAATGTCGCCAGAATGTTACAGCCTCAAACCGTCGGCTTAAAAGGAATAACTTAGAGAGTAATGACACATACAGTAGGACAGTGAATATCATTTGCATTGGTCTAGGCTTTGTTATGTTATGGTGTGTGGTTGGGAGGGAACACAGCACAAACAAATGCATGCTATATATACTGAGAGAGTTTTATGAGTGCATGCAAATAATACGAAAATGTCAATTGGTTATAGCGAGATATATTTAAATACAACATTACCAGAAACAGTATTGCATTAAAATTGAACACCCATGAAAGAAGAATAGAAAGGCCTACGACCCGTGACGAATCTAGTGGGGGTGCCAACTGGAACAAGCTCCCATAATGTAACGACATAACAGTAAACGAAAACGACGCCCCTAGCATAACAAAAAGTTCAGCCCCTTTCTACTCTAGCTCATGCGTTAAATTTAAGGTGTGATCTTGAGGAATTCATAAAAATAACTGAGCATTTTATAGAATGACTGACGATTGCTCTCAAATTATAAAAAAAACAACGTTAGAACTGTAATAAATTACCTAGGCATGATACATAAAATGCGTGCCTAGACTTACGAAAGGACACAGGAATTCATTGGCTAACATCATATTTGAGTGCAACAAAAGCAAAAGTATACCAACATTTATTTTTATTAGACAATAGCAGGGAATGTGACAGGATGGTAACACATCACCAGCTGCATTTCATAAGTTAACAATAGCAGGCCATTCAGCTCGGTAGCGTCACTGCCGTTGGATGTGTGTTGGGGTCCTTGATCCTCCCCTGGCTTCTCTCTTTAGTGGGATACATTTTATGTCCACAACATTTACTTCATAAAGCATTTTAAAAGGGATTTCAGTAGGCGTTGTTGTTGTTGTTGTTTATTCTGAATTTGCGGCGAAAAAAACAACAACCCGAGCTTCAAAAAGTCTTGCTTCTCTACCGTTTAAGACAATAGCCTTAGCATTTTATTTTTGTATTAGCCAAATAACGCGTGATTTTCAATATAGATTATCATAAGTTCCGAAATTAACAATCGACAGCAAGTCTTTGCTGGTAAAACTTTACAGAAATTAAAAGAATTCAAGCAACAAAATCCAAGGGAACTGTGGTAGAAGAATACGGTGATGTGTTGGTTGTGGGTGTGGAAGAGTACGGTGATTTGATGGTGTGGATGTGGCAGAGTACGGTGATTTGATGGTGTGGATGTGGCAGAGTACGGTGATTTAATGGCGTGCCTCTTGTGTTTACACGTTCTAACAGTGCATTGTTTGCTGAATCTGGACAGTCTTTTTTAGCAGATTAGCAATCCATCATCAGTGATACATCGTGCTTGCTATTATCGAGATGATGTCGTGATGTACCGTGATTGCTATGATGGAGAAGATGTCGTGATGTATCGTGATTGCTATGATGGAGATGATGTCGTGAAGTATCGTGGTTGCTATGATGGAGATGATGTCGTGATGTATCGTGATTGCTATGATGGAAATAATGTCGTGATGTATCGTGATTGCTATGATGGATATAATGTCGTGATGTATCGTGATTGTATGATGGATATAATGTCGTGATGTATCGTGATTGCTATGATGGATATAATGTCGTGATGTATCGTGATTGTATGAGGGATATAATGTCGTAATGTATCGTGATTGCTATGATGGATATAATGTCGTGATGTATCGTGATTATATGATGGAAATGATTTCGTGATATATCGTGATTGCTATGATGGAGATGATGTCGTGATGTATCGTGATTGCTATGATGGAGATTATGTCGTGTTGTATCGTGATTGCTATGATGGAGATGATATCGCGATCTTTCGCGTACCGTTTATCGGAATCGCCAGCAGATCAGTATCGCATTGTACCGTGATGACTCATGAGTGACCTAATTTAGGGCGATTCAAATGCACATTTCAACTTGTACATAGAACCACGCCCGCATTTTTTTTTACTCACCGACAGAGGCGTAACCATAGCCCAAAAATCAGACTCCATTTGCATTGTGCCGCTTATAAATCCAATCAACAAAAAAAAATGGGGCAATCATCAAAGCACAACACTGAACAACCAATGTGTATAGATAATAATTTTAACACGTTGTTGGGGTCGGTTGGGGGTGGGGGGGCTGTAGTTCATTAGCTAGGTTTGGATCCTTCTTATGGTTATGATTTTAAATGGTAGCAAACGTGTCTGAAACTCACTGTCCGCTTGAATGATGCAACGTTAATAACACCCCGCATTAGCTTAATGTGTTATGTGTATTTAATTATTTGTTTACCTAATGATGACACACAAAAAAAGAACCCTTTTCCCATTTAGGTGTCCAATAAAATGTAAGACTGGAAAATATGTTCGCCACACTTCCTTCACTCTAAGAGAGTCTTCTCTTCGTTGCTGGCTGAAATAGTAGTCTCGTAAATATTTCTTGTTTGATCTCAATCGTTTGTCTTGTTTTAAACTTTTAAAAAAATGTAACCTCATTTTATGTGTTCAAACCGTAAGCAATTTGAAAAGAATATCTTTCAACATATCGGAGACCCTTAACTTGTATATTTCTTTACGCTAAGCGACATAAGCAGCTGAGTGGATTTCCGGGCACAAAGTGTATTTAGATTGCATGCTTCCCAACCCTACACACTTTTTTCCCCTGCCAAATGACAAAACTACTCTTTGGAGCATGAAACTCCGTTTTTAAAAACTGAGAAATACCTTGACACAAACCCATGGGGTAAACAGGTGTGTAACTAAAGTGTAAATATTATTTACCTATAGCATGTAAAGAATCAATTATGGATTTATTTTCTTTACACTTTTATAAGATCCCCTTAAATGGATCCCCAATAAGGGTACCTGTGTCTATCTAAAGATTGAGGGAACTATTCTTACAATGAACTTTTATTGAAATATGTTCTCGTTTCCTCAACCACAGACTGTCTTATGCTGCTTCAGCATGCCTTTGACTGCCACTCACTGTTGACCCTTTCTCCACTAGTTTGCAAGCAAATCAGGCTGTCGATTGTCTACTCCCCCAGACTTGCACGAACACCTCACAGCTGTAAACTACGCAGGCTTGTGAGAACCTCAGTCAAATTCTATCCTCCCGCACATATGAGCAGCTGCCACTCTCAAATCTTGACTCATCAGGTTTACTTCAAACTTTCACGTTAAGTCCATTCTCCCATGGCTTGCAGCCACTTTTTATTATTGACTCGATCCTCCTCAGACTTGCAAGAATATCTCAATAAAGACTTTATAGTCATCAGAATTTTGAGAACCTCAAACAGGCTACCCCACTCCTTCGAAGACATGTTTACATAAATCACAGTCCACATTTCATCCGCTGGCATGATATTATTTCTCAATTTCCACTTTCTCATACCTGGACAAGATATCACTTTCACTGACCACTTTGTCATCCCTAGGCTTGCGAGCTACTCTCACTGACCACCTCCTCATCCCCAGGCTTGCGAGCACCTCTCACTCTCCACCTTGTCATCCCCAGGCTTGCGAGCACCTCTCACTGTCCACCTTGTCATCCCCAGGCTTGCGAGCACCTCTCACTGTCCACCTTGTCATCCCCAGGCTTGCGAGCACCTCTCACTGTCCACCTTCTCATCCCCAGGCTTGCGAGCACCTCTCACTGTCCACCTTCTCATCCCCAGGCTTGCGAGCACCTCTCACTGTCCACCTTCTCATCAACAGGCTTTCGAGCACCTCTCTCTGTCCACCTTCTCATCCCCAGGCTTTCGAGCACCTCTCTCTGTCCACCTTCTCATCCCCAGGCTTTCGAGCACCTCTCACTGTCCACCTTGTCATCCCCAGGCTTGCGAGCACCTCTCACTGTCCACCTTCTCATCCCCAGGCTTTCGAGCACCTCTCTCTGTCCACCTTCTCATCCCCAGGCTTGCGAGCACTTCTCACTGTCCACCTTCTCATCCCCAGGCTTGCGAGCACCTCTCACTGTCCACCTTGTCATCCCCAGGCTTTCGAGAACCTCTCACTGTCCACCTTGTCATCCCCAACACCTCTCTCTGTCTACCTTCTCATCCCCAGGCTTGCGAGCACCTCACACTGTCCACCTTATCATCCCCAGGCTTGCGACCTCTCTCTGTCCACCTTCTCATCCCCAGGCTTGCGAGCACCTCTCACTGTCCACCTTGTCATCCCCAGTCTTGCGAGCACCTCTCACTGTCCACCTTGTCATCCCCAGGCTTGCGAGCACCTCTCACTGTCCACCTTGTCATCCCCAGGCTTTCGAGAACCTCTCACTGTCCACCTTGTCATCCCCAGGCTTGCGAGCACCTCTCACTGTCCACCTTGTCATCCCCAGGCTTGCGAGCACCTCTCACTGACCCCTTCTCATCCCCAGGCTTGCGAGCACCTCTCACTGTCCACCTTCTCATCCCCAGGCTTGCGAGCACCTCTCACTGTCCACCAACAAAATAGAAAAGATCGCCAACCTGAACGGATTAAAACACTTGCGGGTCCTCTCCTTGGGGCGCAATGCGCTCAAATCTCTGGCTGGTATCGAAGCATGCAACGATACCCTGCAAGAGCTGTGGTGCTCATACAACCAGATAGACAGGTTTAAAGGAATTACGAGCATGAAGAAACTTAAGGTATCCAATGTTTATATTATTTGATTAAATATTACCACTTGAAAATAAATTATATTTAAAAACAGTTCAATGTCGTTTCTTTTAAGTATCGTCATTAAAATAATAAAATATTTGAAAAGAGTGTTTTACATTTGTGAAATCTAGATCAAGGGTCTCAAATTATCCGGGGGCAGCATGAGGTAGAGTTTGAGAGAGACTAGGCCGCATAAAGCATTCCAAAAAAACGCGATTACAAATTAAATTAAGTACAACTGTTACATTGTGCTAAACATTTATTAACAAATAAAAAAAAACGTTTAAGGTTTCGCTTTTTTCCTATTAACTTCTTGTTGCCAGAGACTTGACAGTGTTTCTTCTTACACACCTGATCAACATTTGGCTTGAGTGAGACGGCAACTGAGACCCTTCAGTATAGCTTGAAGATGCTCATCAGCAAGTTTAGCCCTGAACTTGATTTGTTCATTTTCAAGGTGGAAAAGAGCTTTTCACACATATAAGCACTACAAAATAGGCATATGATCCACATGAACAAAGTGGAAATCTCAAGGACATTCTCTCATAAGTTGTCCATGCTTGTCAGTTTTACCATTCACGTCACTGAACTTAGCCTTGAGTTTGAAAGTGCACCTAAAATCAATCAGCTTTGCAAAAAGTCACACAAAGGGAGAGCTGGGGAAATCTTCCACATTGAAGTAGAAATGGGCAGCAATAATTTGAAAAACTTTTAGTCAGATTTCAAAACGGTTTTTACTATTAAAACAAACGTCATAAAAATGGGCGATGAGGTGCGTAGTGCAGAAGACAGAGACGAATGGAGGAGGATAGTTCACATGTCATCTGAGGCACCAAAACGGTCCAAGGACTAAGGGACATGATGATGATGAATCAACGTCCAAATGTATAAAAACATAATAAAAATCAAAATTATACTAGTCGGTGAGATTGGAATGAAACCGTCGGGGAACGTCGCATTATAGATGAGAATGGGGAAAAGCGCGGACCACATTAACACAAACGTTGCAGTGGTATCGGACCGCAACGATATCGTCTTGCGGGCCGTTTACAGCCCGCGTGTCACGTGTTTGAGACCCTTGACATAGATCATGGTTTCACAAATGTTTCTATGTCCTTCAACCTTAAGCATCGTCTAAGTAAGTCTCATATCCTCCAAAACATTAAAATGCACTTTAAATTTGGGATGTTGGGAGAAAAACGTTGGTGGACGGAGTCGAAAGGGGCATGGACTTCTGTTAATTTTTTAATCAAATAAAGAACAGTATAAAGTAGCATTATCTTGGGACTTAATTCATTAATGAAGATTCTATTATTATTGTTCCTAATTCCAACTTTCATGTGATAACTTAAATCTATAACTTCACAAAGCACACATTGAAATGCTCTCTAACGCCTCGTCAAACATCCCGGGGAAAATTCCCTCCCCCCACACACCACCTGATGGAATCTCTCCTCACATCTTATGAGGAAATAAACCCCATAACATCCCGCACCGTATTTAGAAGCAGAAGGGGCCCTTGGCAGCGTAATACGGTGAGGTAACCTATCCCTCTATATAGTAAGTGAGGAGAGGGCCAACATCAGGGTCGCCGAATTCGTCACTAGATCGGCTTTTGTAGTGAGTTAAACGATAAAATAACACGGGCATCGCATTCACAGGGGTTCAAATATTGACGAACTATTCCACCTTGGGCGCCACTTTTCCTCGACACGACTCTGAATATAGCCTACAGTTTAAGTTATGAATAGCAGTATGGAACAGGTTGGCCCATGCCCTTGGCATTGTTTCTTTTTTAGGTACTATTATCAGCGTGGAAGTGGGTGTATCGTGTCAGCGTGTAGGGGAAGAGTTGAGGGGCACGTATCATTTTATAAAAAAACGTGTAAAATTTACTGCAATGAAAACGTTTGCTTCATGTAAGGGTTTCATTAAAAAAATGATATTCAAAAATGAAAATAAAATAATCACTAACCAGATATGCTCTAATCAAATGACATGTCCATGTCCACTCTACAGGTCCTGTTCATGGCGCATAACAAGGTAGGGGACCTGGCCGAAGTGGGCAAGCTGTCCGGTATAGCGACTCTCGAGGACGTCCTGTTGGTAGGTCATCGCTTGATTGTGCTGGAGTTGGGGGGACGGTGGATGGGTGCAGGCGGTTGGGGAAGAGGTCAGTGGCCGAGGTATGACTTACATCATCTCTAGGGAAACCCGTAACCAGGTGTCAAATAGATCTGGGGAAATGTTGATATACGGCTACACTAGAGGATGACGTATTAGTTGGTCATCTTTTGAGCCACCTGTTTGAGATATTTGATTTGGGAGTAGCAGAGAGGTCAGTGGACGTCATATTTGATCTGTGAGTAGCAGATAGGTCAGTGGAGATCATATTTGATCTGTGATCGACACAGAGATCCGGGGACGTCATATTGGATCTGTGAGTGGCAGATAGGTCAGTGGACATCATATTTGATCTGTGATCGACAGAGAGATCCGTGGACGTCATATTTGATCTGTGAGTGGCAGATAGGTCAGTGGACATCATATTTGATCTGTGATCGACAGAGAGATCAGTGGACATTATATTTGACCTTTAAATAGCAGGGAGGTTAGAGGACAGTATATTCGATGTGTAAGTGGCAGAGAGGTTAGTGGACTTCATAAGATTTGGCATTCTTCCATAATAATAAGCTTGTTCAACGAAGAGGAAGTAACGTTAATTGTGAAGGTCTATGCCATGTGTAACCAACAAAGGAAAGTTCATTGTGATGGGCTAAGTCCTGTGTAACCAACAATGTCAACATTGATTAAATATCATTGGAAAAAAAATATAATAACAAAAATTGAAGACAGGAACTTCCACAGTTAATTATTTGTTCAGCCCTTTGCTAATCTAAGAACGCTGATTATGATGCATTAACCAACCAGGAAAAAGTATACGGCCCACTAGATTAAGATATCCTTATTTCCGATTGTTAAATTGCAACACGGTTCTTCCCCTGTTTACATTTCACTTTAAGACGCTGAAATAAATGCCAAAATTAGAACTAATAATTTGAAGAGCGGCACATTCATTATTTACATAAGGGAAATATTTATAGGTCTCATTTCTTTAGTTAGAGAACTGGATGCGACACTTTTAATATCAATCTATAAATAACAAATAAAAGTGTTATTTCATTGTAACATATTTTTATTCTGTCAATGCAGATCGGCAACCCGATTGAAGAAGAGATGTCAGAGGCAGGCCGATGGTTCAATGAATTCAGGAAAAAGTGTCCAAAGGTCAAGAAACTTGATGGGGTCGTGTTGGCGGGTGATGATTAGATTTAATAGAGGGAAAAGAGAGGGTGGTGGTGACAAGGTACATAAATTAGGAAATAGGTAAGGTGACCCTGAAATTATAATAAGATACGGAAACTGGTGTTGGGATTTTAATGTGAGCGTAGGTCAATATGTAGGAAATTCATGAAATGTAAAACATATTCTTGGGTGACACGAGGCTTTTTATAATTACTTATTAATAAGTTAAAGATTAATATTGCTTTTAATTAATTTTTTAAATAGAGAAAATGGTTCAGAAATTACTTTTCTGATTATTTTAAGCAGATCATATTGTGACGGTTTTAGCAGATCCAATAAATAATTTCGTTAGAAAAGAAGACAAAATAGAAGATACAAAGTGGTGTATTTTCACACATACATTCTTTTTTTTATTCCTTAAAGGAAAAACGTTATGTTAGACTTGTGTAGATTCACTGAATGATAAGTTAGCGCTAATAAAATGCGTGTTATGCCATTTCTCGTTGTTAGATACTAGTATATTGACATAAATGAAGATATAATAACAATAAAAATTTTCTATGAAATAACTCAGTGTTTTGACATCAACAATCATTTCTATTGTTTGATTATGTTTTACCGAGTGATTTCCGCCAAATTATTAAAGTTAAATTGTAATTTTTCTTTCAATAAGTCTACTATGTCGCGACATGCAACATTTGCATATTTCTTTAAAGTGTAAATATATATATATATANTATATATATATATAGGCCTAGTAGGCTATTTAACGAAATGTACATATCTACTCCATCGCCTCACAAAGACGAAAGAATGGCATATAGTTATATCTATATATAATTAATGAGACTGTCTTATTTTTATAGACGCATTTGTAACGTGAACAGCAATAACTAGTTTTCAAGAGCTGCTAAACTTGACTAAGAACTATTGATATTTTCTCATGATAGCTTATAGTCCATGCTCTTGAATTAATGGAAGTCTTATCAACGTTAGGGGTGTCTAAAGATGCTCTAGACACGTTGATAATAGTATATAATCTCTGAAACACCATTCCAAATGCAGGAGTTGTCTGTAATCTGAGATCCGACATAGTATCTACATGAGTCATGAATAAAATAGACGCGCCCTTGCATGACACACTTCCTGGTTTTGAAAGGCTGGGCCGTGGGATTATGTCCCCTGGTGAATTGGAATACTATGGATACACTGCACCTGCTGCCCGCCTACACCAGGGGCGTGGATTCATGGATTCAAAAGTTTTGGTCAAATTCGAGAAATAACTTCATTAGTATTATCCATGTCATTAATGCATAATTTTTCAATCAGACGGCAACAACCTCATGTGATGCGTTATTTGAACAGCAAAGCATCTCATGTGATTTATCAGACAAAGAGCAAAACCTCTTATGAAATATATCAGTCAAAAAGCAAAGCCTACCATGTGTTATATCATTAAAAAAGCAAAGCCTCTCTAATGATATATCAGTTCAAAAGCAAAGCCTATCATATGATATCTCAGTCCAAAAGCAAAGCCTCTCATGTGATATATCAGTCAAAAAGCAAAGCCTCTCATGTAATATATCAGTCAAAAAGCAAAGCCTCTCATGTGATATATCAGTCCAAAAGCAAAGCCTGTCATGTGATATATCAGTCAAAAAGCAAAGCCTCTCATGTGATATATCAGTCCAAAAGCAAAGCCTCTCATGTGATATATCAGTCCAAAAGCAAAGCCTCTCATGTGATATATCAGTCGAAAAGCAAAGCCTCTCATGTGATATATCAGTCCAAAAGCAAAGCCTCTCATGTGATATATCAGACCAAAAGCAAAGCCTCTCATGTGATATATCAGTCAAAAAGCAAAGCCTCTCATGTGATATATCAGTCAAAAAGCAAAGCCTCTCATGTGATATATCAGTCAAAAAGCAAAGCCTCTCATGTGTTATATCATTAAAAAAGCAAAGCCTCTCATATGATATATCAGTCCAAAAGCAAAGCCTCTCATGTGTTATATCATTAAAAAAAGCAAAGCCTCTCATGTGATATATCAGTCAAAAAGCAAAGCCTCTCATGTGTTATATCATTAAAAAAGCAAAGGCTCTCATGTGATATATCAGTCAAAAAGCAAAGCCTCTCATGTGTTATATCATTAAAAAAGCAAAGCCTCTTATGTTATATATCAGTCAAAAAGCGAAGCCTCTCATGTGTTATATCATTAAAAAAGCAAAGCCTCTCATATGATATATCAGTCCAAAAGCAAATCCTTTCATATGATATATCAGTCAAAAAGCAAAGCCTCTCATGTGATATATCAGTCAAAAAGCAAAAGATATGAAGTGATTATATAAAAAAAATAACAAATAAATCAAGTAATTTTATAATTTTTTCTCTTGTGAAACACCCACAAACTTTGTTATTCATAACATTAGCAAGCCCAAGCTATAAGTAGTTTTTCAAAAATTATCGGACGTCATAAGGTGTGAAATGTAATAACAGAGAAGACAGTTGTTTTAGAGGTCACATGCTTAAAAAAGTTACTTGTGTCTGTTTTGTGTTTAACTTTGTTATGTAGGCTGTACAATCCGAATTATTTATTTGACATCAGATATGCATTTTCTTTTCGTGCCTGCCTTCTAAAATTTAATTTATTGATATTTTATATCGAGGTATAGAAAGGTTCCCACGTTTAACCCAGTGTGTGGATTAGGCGATTCGGACACCTCCCCCCCCCCCTTTCCCGCCCTCCTTACAATACCTTAGATGCATGGAAGAGTAATAGTGAAACATTTTCTTTTCTTGCCTGCCTTCTAAAATTTAATTTATTGATATTTTATATCGAGGTATAGAAAGGTTCCCACGTTTAACCCAGTGTGTGGGTTAGGCGATTCGGACACCCCCCCCCCCCCCTTTCCCGCCATCATTACAATACCTTAGATGTATGGAAGAGTAATAGTGAAGATGGCCAACTACGCTAGGTACACGATTGAAAAGTCTCACGATCTTGGGAATAATAATAAAAACAATTTCTAAAAAAGGCCATAGCTAAATAGTTATTATAAATTTGTGGACCAAACTCCAGCACGACGCCCCCATCATTGGTATAAGATTGTACAGAGAGAGACCAGTTAAACCCACTTCACACGGCCCAGCTACTAAGCGTTCGTATTGAGACATGTCAGTTTGAAGGATATCCTTATCTGGTATCTTGTTAGTCGTACAACTCCTTTTAGTTCTCATTCCAAATAACATCTTCAGGCCTGTCATAACCATCCAAATTAAAATCACCTACGGACATAAGTAAGGAGAGTCACAAAGACACATCAGCTACAGACATAAAGAGAGTCACAAAGACACATCAGCTACAGGCATAAGGAGAGTCACAAAGACACATCACCCACAGACATAAGTAGAGTCACAAAGACATATGAGCTACAGACATAAGGAGAGTCACAAAGACACATCATCTACAGACATAAGGAGAGTCACAAAGACACATCAGCTACAAACATAAGGAGAGTCACAACGACACATCAGCTACAGGCATAAGGAGAGTCACAAAGACACATCAGCTACAGAGATAACAGACATAAGGAGAGTCATAAAGACACATCACCTGCAGACATAAGGAAAGTCACAACGACACAAGCACCCACAGACATGAGGAGAGTCACAAAGACACATCACCTACAGACATAAGGAGAGTCACAGAGACACATCACCTACAGACATAAGGAGAGTCACAAAGACGCATCAGCTACAGACATAAGGAGAGTCACAAAGACACATCACCTACAATGATAACAGACATAAGGAGAGTCACAAAGACACATCGCCTGCAGGCATAAGGAGAGTCACAAAGACACATCAGTACGGACATAAGGAGAGTCACAAAGACACATCAGCTACAGACATAAGGAGAGTCACAAGGCACATCACCTTCAGACATACAGAGTGTCCTTGATCTTGGGGAAACATAGGCGCCAGCTCCGTTGCAACAAAAAGTTAAGTCTCAGTTCAACATCACAGCGCACACCCAGGAACACACAAGTTACACACACCGCACAATTAGTTGACGAAAAGAATAACAAAAAACTCAAACAACCATCTTTAAGAACTGAAAAAATATGCGAGATGAAGGGAGAAAAAAAACAAATCTCATTTTTTTTATTAACGAAGGTATCTTATTTATTTATTTATTCATGCATTTTTATATAGCGCTTACCTTAAAGCTCTAAGCGCTTTACAATTATTAAAAACATGTAAACTAAGTAAAATAAAAATGAGACACTAGGATAGTAACTACTATACTATAGAAACAATTAAAATGGCTATAAAACGAGGACACTTATCTTATCTATGTTATCTTATTAGATTCGAAAATTATCTAGCTGTCAAAGATTTGACACTAATTTTCTGAAGATTTTCAACCCAGTTGATGTAACGAGACCGAAAGTTACCCATTGGTGTTATTCCCCAATCATTTAATTAACAGTGTCTCTTACATCTGTATCATGATATCTCTATCGTTATGTCTGTATCAATATATTTCTATCCTTGTATCTTTATTATTATATCTCTGTCTTAACATAACTATCATTTTATCTCTATCATCATATTACCTCTATCATTATATCTACAACATTATAGTTCTTGCTTTATAGATCGATCATTATATACCTATCATCATCTTTATATCATTATATATCTATACTTATAGCTTTACTATTAAATCTCTATCATTATATCTCTATCATTATATCTCTATCATTATATCTCTATGATATCTATATCATCATATCTCCATTATCATATATCTTTCTTTACAACTATATCATTATATCACTATATATCTCTCTCTATCATCATTTGCTTATCATTATAATATAACTATTATTATGGTTCTAGCATTGTAGCTCTGTAATTGTTTCACTATCAATATATATTTATCATTATATGTCTGTCCCCTGGAACGTAGATAATTTTAAAATCCGCCTATGAAATTTGTGAACATAACCTTGATATCCAGAATAAAAAGACATTTTTGAGGGCGGTTTGGGGAATGGGTAATATTTTTTACAAGGAAACGTAACCTATGGGGAATTCCCAAATACCAAACGTGTGTGAATTGTATCTCATTTGTAATTCCAGCTCGACTCTCAGACTTCTCTCAAAATAGTTCAAAGTCTGCTCTAGGGATTTTCTGGAATTTTGTTTTGTTTATTTGTGAAAATATTTAATTTTACAACGTGTACCCTATCAAGTTCAGCGTGCCT